CTCCTCTCCATCCGCCTCCGCCTCCGGTCCGTCCTCCGTTCGGCCCCGCCCCGTCCGCCTCCGCCCGGCCCTGCTCCGTTCGCCTCCGCCCGGCCCCGCTCCGTCCGCCTCCTCTCCGGCCGACTCCGCCTCCGCCCCGCGCCGCACCTCACCGCTCCACTACCCATCCGGCCCCGCTCCGGTCGCCTCCGCCTCCGGTCCGTCCTCTGCCCCGCTCCGTCCGCCTCCGCCCCGCTCGGCCGCCTCCCCGACTCGCTCCCTGCTCGGCCGCCGCCCGCTCCCCGATGGCGCCGAAGGGCAAGTCTGGTTTCTTCGGTGTGAGGGCGAAGCCCACCGAGAACTCCGGAGTGGAGTTCTCCGATGCCGGGCGATGTTGGTGGCTCGGCACGTATCCCACCGTCAATGAGGCTGCGCGTGCCTACGACGTGGCGGTGTGGCATGCCAGACGGCCAAAGTCGAACCTCAACTTCCCGGAGGTCGAGACCCAGGCGGCGGCGGAGTGGCTCGTGCCGTAGGGCGTCCGGATGAAGGAGATTCTGGTGAAGAAGGCGAAGAAGAGACCGATGGTTGTCGTCGCTCCCGGCGAGAGCGACGAGGCGGCGATGGCTCGGTTTGCGTGAGAGCATCCGCATTACGTCCAGGCCGAGCTGGAGCACTACTGGAAGCGCAACGTCGAGGCGCAAAAGAAGGGGGTGAAGGAGGACAAGGCCGGCCCCTCGACTGTGATCCCTATCGAGTCGTCGGATGAGGACTGGGGTGACCCCAAGGAGGACGAGGGGTGCGATGACCCGACCAAGGACGAGTTCTGGGAGCAGTTCCGCAGCTCCGACGACGAGGAGTAGTAAGTAGTAGTTGAATTTATGTATGAAACTATGTTGAATTTCATGTTTGAACTATGTTGAGATGAAGTAGTAGTTGGTCGTTTTAATCTTCGTTTTGGACCATCTATTGGAGTTCGCTCTTTTATTTACATCTCCGTTTTGAACCATCTGTTGGAGTTAAGCCTTTTTTGGAGATGTAAAAAGCACTCTTTGGTGCTCCAAATTTGGACCATCACCCGTTTGAACCACTAAAATATACTAAAATATACATCATCTATCAGAGATGCTCTAAGAGAGTTGATGCGAATGTAACCGGTCTATCTATAAGCAAAATATTTCAGTTATTTTTAATAGCACCACAGTTAAAACAGCGGCTGAACTATATGGTTCAGGCAGAAGGATGAATGGAACTGCGGTTATACATCTCTATGATTTACGAAAACCGGACAAATGCGCCCAGCCTTCACACACACAATCAAGATACAACAAATGTCTCATGGTTGCAATTTCGACACAACACATCTAAGGTAACAACAATTCACGATTCGTTTTGCACCACAAATCACGGAGCCGGGACCATGGCATCATCGTCGGTTATTCTGGACCCCCAGGGATATAACTTCCTTTTCTTTTCACTGCCGCGGCAACGTAACTGTAAGTGACATCAGTTGGACAAGAGCAGGTTTCTTATCTGGTGTATCTGTCTTCCGCTAGTTTGGACGGTTCAGAGCCATGAACTTGCACTGCTCACTCATCGCCTGGAGCTGTGCGTCCTTCTTGTCGACCATGGCACGTAGCCTCACATTTTCCTCCATCACCTTCTGGACTTCAGCTTCTTTCTGTGCTTTCTCAGTCTCGAGCTGGTTGGTCCTTGCGACTAGCCTGTTCACAAACATAAGAGGCTCAGTACCATGTTGGTTGTAGATAACCGACTCAATACTTACTTTACAGTACATGCTTGGGTGGCCTGATTTTTAATCCTACATTACTTGCAGTACAAGGAAAGGAACTGTCAGCAGTGCGAGTGCATTATGCCATTATCTCTGTTATATCTACAAATTTGATCATTCCTACGCACCAGTCAGGGACTTATTTTCTGTGGAAGGGAGGCGGGGAAGGATAAGAATTTTCCTTTTGTTTAGAATATAATTTTCCTTTTCTGAAGCAAAGGGGGCAGGAGAACTGCCTATTCAGTAAATAGAGAGTGGTTGATATTTACAGAGCGGACCTGTATTGAAGGGAACAAAGCCTAGAACCTAACAAGCAAAAGCAACCACTCGCCCTCGATTGCACCTTGTCTGCGTAGGAAAAGACCTAAAAGGTTGGCCTCTTGTCAAGCTAAATGACCAACCTGTTCACCAGGAGGCCTCAGTGTAAAATTCTATGACTATGATATGCTGACTAGTATCAACCAGAAAGCAGAAGAAGAAAGTAGGAGGAAGGCAACGGACAATGCATATGATTTAGCCTTTTTCTGCCAAAAAAAAAAAACTTAGAGTAGATGTTCCAGCTCAAATGTCATGCAAGCAGTAGAAAGATCAATGATCCAAAATGTCAATTCAAAGTTGAAAGATCTAGAAGGTCGGAAAGTAGCAAGAACTGGAATTTTGGACCAAATGCGGACCAGCAGAAAACCAGATTTCCAGGCTTACCCAAGTCTATCTGCATCTTCTTGACCACTAAATATCAATTAACATTTGGGACATGATCGAGGCACAAAACTGCTCCATTCAGGAGAGCAGTATATTGAACCAACTTAACAAAATTATATGGCAACAATCTCTATCAGATGTCAAGGAGTGATAGAAGAGAAGTAACTGTGTTAACCAATGGTTGCATGATGTATAGTTAACATAATTCTAAGAAGATATCAGCAGACTTCTTAGTCTCACCAAATCCCCTCACATACGACGAAGTGGGTGACAAACTGACAACAATATGTGATAGAGAGAGAAGTCTAGGCATGGCATTTAAGTGCTAATTTATAACAAAACAGATATGTTGTGTGCCCTGAGGTTCAAAGAAAAGGTAGAGCACATTTAGTTGCAAAAATGTTAGAGTACGTAATGGGCCTGGGCTGACGGTATAGCCCGTTAGTCTTAGGTTAATTAGAGATAAGGGTCACTTGCTTAGGGGTCAAGTAAGCCTTGCTTGGGAGTCAAGTAAACCTCTCTATATAAAGAGAGGAGATGTATCAATCTAATCAAGCAAGAATTAAGAAGGAAATCCCTTCCCTCTTGCCCGGCCGTGGGCAAAAAGGCCCCTGGCCGGCCCTCTCGCGCCCTCCTTCTAGCAGCACCATAACAATTTGGTTTCAGCTAGCTTCGGTTCGATCATGTCTTCACCGCCGCCAAGCCCGTCTCTTCCGCTGCCGGTCACCTTGTCGCCTCCGGCGACCACCACGACCGTCGCCCCGCTCCTGCCCGCGCTGGGATCCTCCGTCCCGCCCGCCCCCGCCGTCCTCACCTGGGAGGAGGTCTCCGGGGTGCTGCGGAACCTAACCCAGGCGGTCCAGGAGATCCGCCTGTTCTTGGCCGGGTCCTACGGGCCGCACCCGGCTGCGCCGCCCATTGCCGCCCCCGCGCCGCCGCACCAAGCGGCCTTCGCCGCGCTCGCCGGGCCGCTGCAGCTGCCATCCATTGCCACCACCGCCCAGCCCTGGCTGCAGTGGCAGCCGCCGCTCCTGGCGGCCTCCGCCGCGCCTGGCGCTCCGCCGCAGCAGCCGGTGCAGCTGCAGCAGCCACCACCGGTCAGCTCCGTCGCCCAGTATGGGATGCCCTACGACGGGAGTGCGACGACCTCGTTCCCATCAGTGCCGCCGTCATCCCAGGGTGTCCACATCCAGCAGATCAAGTCCCCGCCGTCGCCGTCACCGCTTTCGTCTTGGATCACTACCCGCCACGTGTCGGCGGCGGTGAGGCTGCAGGCTGCTGCGCGCGGCCTCCTAGCGCGTCGGCGTGTGCGGGAGATGCCTGGTCTGCAGCTGCCGCTCCTCCAAGTTGCTCTTCGCTGCGCAAAGGACCTCGATCTCGTCCGCTGCGTCGGGGATCTTGGGCATGCGGTTTCCCCCACGGGCGGCGGGCATGCTGTTTTCCCCGCGGGCAGCGACCTCAAAGTCTGCGACATCGACGGTTGGGGTGGCGCACCCCTCCTCGTCATTCTCCATCGTAAGCCCTCCACTCTTCCCTGTGCAGTGCAAACCAACAGCCGTCCGGCGGGGAGAAGGCAGGGTGTCACCGACAGGAGCGCACCGCGTAGCACCACTGCTTACCGCCGCCGGCCGCCGCGAGGGCGCCTCTGCTGGTCGCTCTTGCGACCACTTCCAGGTGGCCATACACATGCACTCCTTTGGTCCAGATGGTGTCCATGGGATCCAGATGGTTCTACACGTGCACGTCCGACGTGCGGATGGTGTCCACTTTTTGTTGAGGGGTCCAAAATAAAGCGTCCCAGTCCATTTCAGGTTGAGAGTCATAAAACAAGCCGAGATGTAAAAGGCTTGTTTTTAGGTGTTAGATTTGTGTTGCGTCGAGTCATGGTTATAAGTTGGTTAGGCTGCAGCTCGAGGACAAGTTGCATGTCCAGGTGGGGTGTAGTGTTAGAGTACGTAATGGGCCTGGGCTGACGGTATAGCCCGTTAGTCTTAGGTTAATTAGAGATAAGGGTCGCTTGCTTAGGGGTCAAGTAAGCCTTGCTTGGGAGTCAAGTAAACCTCTCTATATAAAGAGAGGAGATGTATCAATCTAATCAAGCAAGAATTAAGAAGGAAATCCCTTCCCTCTTGCCCGGCCGTGGGCAAAAAGGCCCCTGGCCGGCCCTCTCGCGCCCTCCTTCTAGCAGCACCATAACAAAAAATGGAATTGCTAATGCCAAGTTTTAAT